GGGGGGGGGGGCACCGCCTCTCCGAGCATCTCCGGCGCTCCGGGGGCGGCACAGCCGCAGCCCCGACCGTGGGCCGCCCCCCGCGCTGACAGCGCCGCTAACAGCCCCGCCGATCCGGGGGGGTCCGGGGGTGCGGAGAGCGGGGCCCGACCGTCCTCCTCATCTGTGTTTTTCAGCTCCCGGGAGACTGAGGAATGCGATTCTGCCACCATGATGGAAGGTAGGGGGTGGGGGAGTGATGGGGGGCGGGTGAGGGAGGGGGCGTCGGGGTGGGAATCCTTCACCTTTTCATTTGAAATCATCATGATAAGATCGTGATTAAAATCCATTTCCCCCCCTGAGCTGAAGCGCTCTGCCGGGTGGAGCTGCCGCCGAACCTGCGGGGGTATCTGTGGGGCCGGGGTACCTCCCTGCATGGGGTCTGCACGGCCCCGGCCCCTCGGTGCGGGGTCGGGGAAAGGGGGGGTGGATGGGTCCGCGTGATTTATGGCCGTGCGCTGCTATGTGTGTGCATCCCTCCACCGGGAAGGGATGCGCCGAAAGGGACCATCACCGCCGGGTAGGGAGGTGCGGTGCTGGGGAGGGGGCACAGAGGAGATGGAAGGGGAGATGGGCTCCCGGTTGAGTGCTGTGTGTCTGTGTGGGGAACGGCCCCCGGGCACCGCTTGCACAGATTGTAACCCGTGTCATCCGCCTCGGCCATATGTAGAGCTCCTCCTTACGCCTTCTGCGGCGAGATGCCGTGGAGGAAGGGTTTTATCCGCTTAAAGCAGAACGGCTTTTGGCCTTCAAGGCCCCAGCACGCATTGTAGAGGTGTTCTGCTTTATTTGTGCCACCCCGGTGCAGGGTGCCCAGATCCAGCCTCGTGTGCAACCTCACAAATGGGGATCCGTGTGGCCATCACCCCGCAGTGCCGATGGAAGATGCCCACCTCCCGCTGGTCACATCCATGACCGAGGGCTGCGCGTGCTGCGTGATTCCTTGGGATGAGGGGAGCGGGCATCCCTGTCCTTCAAGGCCTTATTTATGCTCCACCGATGTTGGAGAGGGGATGGGTGAGAAAGGAAAGATTTGCTCTCAGGGCACAGCGCTGCGCTCCGTGCCGTGACTCACAGCACAGCCGGTGACACAGCTCGGCTGCGGGAGCCGCTCCTCGCGAGCGCTGCGTCTTCGGGGGAATTAACGGGTGGGAATTACAGCCGGGCTGCTGCCGCGCTGGGTGCGGCGGCTCCGTCTGCCTGCGGAGGGGGCTGGGCTGGGCTGAGCTCCCTTCTGGGCTCCTTTCTGGGTTCCTCGGTGGTTCTGCTGGCGGTGGGATGGTGGCTGGCAGAATCGTCTCGCGCGGTTTTTAGGAAAAGGCCGCAGAAAGTTTCCCCATTGCCGGCGACTCGTGCGTGGGAACCTGGGATGGAAGCGAGAAAATGGAGTGAGGAGAAATAATTAATGCTTCTGATTAATTTTTAAACAGTTGGAAACTGGCTTTATTTGTGGAAGAGTGGAACTTTCATGCCCAATGCCCCACTGGCACCTTGCACAGAGGCTTCCTTTTCATAGAACCCTTCAGGTTGGGAAAACCCTCTGAGACCATCAAGCCCAACCCGTCCCTGCTGTGCCCGTTGACCATGGCCCTAACATTTTGAATGCCCTCAACTTAGGACCAATTTCAAGCTCTCAAAGCCGTGTGAAGCACTTGTGTTTCCCCGCACTGACTGTGCCATAGGGTTTGAGTGGTGCTGAACTGGGGCACTGTGGGGCTGCTGGTGCCACAGAGCTGGATGGACTGGGGCTGTGTCCTCCCATGGGAGCAGGAGAATGTGGCCTCTTCGGGTGATGGGGACTTGTGCTGGGTTCAGGATGAAGATGGGATATCTTCTAGTTCTCTTTGTAGATGGGGGCAGAAGCCATAGAGAAGTGATGGGGGTGGAGGGGAATAAAACAACCTGGTGATGTTGTGAAGGTAAACATCCACGTGCAAGGGAACAAAGGGGTGTATTTATCTCTTTTTTTTTTAATCTGTTGCATCTTGGGTGCACATATGGCTCAACTGAGTTTTGAAATCACTGCTGCAATGTGGTGCTCGGTGCAAATGTGCAGTGTTGGAAGATCACCCAGCTGTGGCTGATGGATGATCCCATTGGGGTGGCACTGGGGTCAGCGGTTCCTCCCACCCTCCCTGAGGTCAGAGGTTGGCTGAGATGGCAGGAATTTCTGCTCTGCTTTCTCTGAGTGCTTTTGGGGCATCTGGACATGCTGGGGGCTTCCATGTGCGGCTGCTCACGTCCCATATGGCCATGCTTTGCATTGCCTCCTAGCAGTGCTTGTCTTAGCTGGGTAACACTGGGCCTGGGGGCAGCCAAGGGCACAGAGCAGAGGAAGCTTTTCCTTTGCCAAAGAGAGAACATTGGCTTTGTTATGTCTTAGGTGGTCTTGTTCTGATAAACAGTGCTTCTGGATGTCAGTGTGTTTGTGCAGCACGTGGGGCTCAGGGAGTTTCTGTATCGGCTGGGCTGATGATGGGCCTCGATGCCAAAAGATAGCAGAGCTCTGGGCACACCACCCAGTCCAGCCAAGCTGGTTTGGGATTTTCCAGCTGTTCCTAGGGCAGCACGTTTCTCAATAGGTCTTGCTAAAGGAGGGAGGGAGGGGATAAAGGGATCTAGCTTGAAAACAACAACAAAGCCCCACCCAAACTCTGGGAATTTGGGAAATGTGTTGGGTTAAGCCTGGTAGCACTCCCCAGTTCAAACCCACGCTGTGTGAAGGTGCAGAGGATGCCAGCTGAAATAGGAGCTGGGCAGCAAACGCAGCACCCTGACACCATGTGTCAGACTGCTGGGCCATGAGAAGTATTGAGATGTTTATGGACAGGGCTTTTTGGATGGGAAAGGAGAAAATGAAGGGCTAGAATGAGAACTAACGGCCTCGTGTGGCACCGGGGGGGAGTCAGCTTGGATATTAGGAGAATTTTCTTCTCCAAAGAGCACTCAGCACTGCACAGCTGCCAAGGGGGTGGGGGGTCACCACCGCTGGGGTGTTCAGAGCTGTGGGGATGTGGCACTGAGGGATGTGGGGCACAGGGGATGGGGTGAGAGTGGGCTTGGGGAGCTGAGAGTGCTTCTCCAACTGCAATGGTTCTATGGCTCATAGGTACGTGGGATGCAGATGTAAAAGTTTTTGTTTGGTGAGCCCAGTTTGGAGTGTGCCCAAACACAGCTTTTGGGGTCCCTGCTGCCCCATTCATCGGTGTTACGCACATTATAAGGGCTCTTTAGGGTGAAATCACATCTCCTTGAGTCTTTGCCACAGGGCCTCAGGCAGCTGAAGGTTGGATGAGTGGTTGCCCACAGCCATCCCTGCTGCACAGAGCTGCTCAGTGCCCAAATTTGCCCTTACTGTGTCTGTGGAGACCTTCAGGGAGAGCCCTTTGCCGTTGAGATGCTGGTGGTTGCTGGATGCTGACTCTCCCTTCCAGGCACACGTGTGGTGCTGTTCCCATTCTCCATGCTCACCCAACGCATCCTTTTCCATAAGATGGTATATTTGAGCTGTGTACATTCAGTGGGGATAAGGAGGTCCCTGGCTCCTGCCCTGCTCGTGTGCAACATAGCAGCGCAAAGCCTGGCCTGCTGCTCCTGAATGGCCTCAGCTATTCATTTTTAATTGAAGCTCGATTACAGGCTGATGTTCCTGAGGGTTTTTGGAGGTGTGTTGCTTTGTTGGCAGAGGAAGGCTGGCGGAATGGCTGCAGCTGCTGATGGTTGTGCTTTCAACCCCATGGAATGGCACTTCCGTCAACTTTTGGGTTGGATTTGGGTATTTTTTGGTTTCATGGATGCTAGGTTTGCATGAGGAGGTACTGAAGGAGCAGCCCAGCCCTCCCAGCACAGTGCAGGGTGCAGGGGTGGCCAGCACTGGGTTTGCCCATACAGCCCTTCCAGCAGTGCAGGTGATGCTGCCCACTACCAGTGCAAATGCAGATTGATGTGATATATGGATTGGAAAGCAGCAAGGTAGCAGCACTGGGAAAATCACCCAATGCAGCCGTATCAGGGATCTGCTCCTCACCATCCCAGCACCCCAACCTTGGCACACCCTTCTGAGGGCTTCAATTATGACTCTTTAAATCTTACCCAATGCTGAGTGCCAGCTGTGCTTTCATGTTCCCCACTCCCAAGCACCTCTGAAGCAGTGCTGTGCGGTTTGTGCAGCAAAGATGCTGGGGGTGACCGCAGCCAGACCCATCCCCGTGGAGGTGGGGGATTTTAATGGGTTTGTACCTGTTTGTTTGGGGGAAATTCTCTCCCCCCCGTGTTTTCTTTTTGTGTGTGTGTGCATATGTTTTGTTGTGGCTTTTCTTGAGAGCTATTGAGTGAGGGTGGGGAAAATAACCTCCCACCCTGTGCAGCTGCAGGGAGCTGAGCAGGCAGCTGAGGGCACGGGCTGTGCTGGAATGGCTGTGGGGGTTTGGTGGAGGTGGGGCTTCCAGCACAGGGTGCAGTGCTGGGGGGCACCTCCTGCCATGCTGCTGTGCTGTTCTGCAGAGCCACTTCTACAGAACCCGTCGGAGACATCGTTAGAGATGCACCCTGGTATTGGAGCTGATGAATTATGAATGGGTGCTGGGCTTTCGTGTGTGTGTGTGTGCAGTGTCAGTGGGCATTTGTCGCTCCGCACGTCCCTTGGAGTGCAGTCTCACCCCCCTCCTGCCACGCAGCCTCTCAGCTGGGTCTTACCGTGTATCCTGCCCTTGTTACTGATGCTGTAAGCTTACAAACAAGCTTGTCAGTACAATGCCAGCCTGGATGCTCTTTTGGCTTAACCAGAAGCTCCTCACAAGATATAAGAAATGAACACAGACACAGCTATGGCGAGGTGGTACCAAAGCATGCGCCAAGCCCTCCCCTCAACAGCTGGAAGCCCCTCCCCACGACCTGTGATGAAAGGATATGCATGCAGCTCTTCTTGTGGGCTGAAAGGCTGGGATTTTTTGTTTACTACTGCTGGGAGCAGCACTGAGATGCTTCTTCACATCCCTCAGTTTTCCAGGTAGGGAAATCCCATAATGGCACTGCCATGGGATGGATGGAAGATGGGCAAGGGAGGAATGTGCAGGGTTCCTTATTGTTGGGCTTTGGTATTTCTCACTTGCAATACTTCAAACCTATAGCCTACCTTTGGAAAATGCACATTCAGGATATGCAGTGGTCCCCACACAGGTGAGTTTTTCTGGAAGATGGTGACATTTGTAAATATGCCTGAGATGGGCTCATCTGGTGTGCTTCTCATGGGAGCATAGAATCATTCTGGTTGGAAAAGTCCCCTGAGATCCCCACTGCTCCCACTGAGCGCCTTTCGGTCCCTCTGAGCGTGCCCTTCCAGATGGGGAAGGAGGTTGGTTTTAGTATAGTTCCTTGGAGCTCTGCAGGGTGTTGCCCTCGTCTTGGCTCTAGTGCAGAAGAAACCAGTGTGATTTATGAGTGATGTTTGCCCAGGTCCTTCCACCTGGGGCCTGGAGCCCCCCTGGGCAGTGTGGCTGTGCTTTGGAAGCAGGTGCTGGGAGGCACTCAGTGCCTGGTGATGGGGCCTTTCCTCTTGAGTCAGGCCTCTTGGCTTTCTTGTTAGTTACAAATTCTTGTGGTTGATCTCCTCTCTGAAACCCAAGTATTTGATGGCAGACCATTCAAGAACAGGAAGGTTCTGGGAACTGGAAAGACAGCCCGTGTTGTGATTAATTTTGGGTGTGAATCTTCCCAATGTGGAGATGTGAATTTGAATGTATTTTGTGTAAGTTAACACTTCTGGATGACGATGTTGGCATGGAAGCAGGTGACACCTCTTCCCTGGCAACCCACCCAGACCTTGGTTGGAGAGCCCTTTCCTGACCACACGGGGGGACACTGTCCATGCTGTCCATGTGCCACGTGCCCTCCCGTAGCTGCTCAGTGCTTGGGTGGTGTCTGGGAAGGCCATCATCCCCTGTTCCTGACCAGCAAACAGAAAACCCTAAAAATAGGAGTCTGAGCATCACTCGGGAGGGAGCACCTGTGCTGGGCCATGACTTGCATAGCACAGCAACCTTTAGGAGATTATTTGGCACTTGTGTGCCAGCCGTGAATGAAAGCCACAGCTGTATCTGCACCTTGTGTCCTGGTGGCACTGTGGGGACACTTGTGTCCATGATTCGCTGTGAGCTGACCCTACGGACCTGATCTTGGAGTAAACAGGCAGCAAGCAATCAGTGTGGCTGCATTACTGAGCTTAGTGCACAGCATGTGGGTGATGACTTGCTTCCTTATGATCTTAAATACAAAATATATGTATAAATTTAAAAGATGCTTGGTGCAGGCATCCATACCCTGCTGTGCTCATTGCTCCTTTACAAGGAGCCAAGAGCTGCTTTAGGTTCCAGCGTTGTTTGGGTGCCCATTTAGATGTCATTGCACTGTGCACAACAAATGATGGCCTATGATTGCCTATGGGTGCATCCTGCAGTCTGTAGAAGGGTTTTCCAAGCTATCTTTGGAAAATGAAACTTTTTCTGATGGGCCTTGTTTTTGTGGGGAGAGTATGGAGCCTTGTCCTTGCCCTGCAAGAAATTCTTGGTCCCCAGATAGCTTTGGATCTGTCAGACCTTCTTGCTTGGAGCCTGGTGCAGGCACGTGTCAGTTCAGAGGCATTTTGTCTTCCCTCTGCTTCAGTTTTGCTGAGCAAATTGAGGGTTATTAATTCTGGAGCAAAGTAAATACTGTCACTTGGCTTGGAAACAGCAGCAGATTTCTCCATGTTTGGACCTAGGGAAGTAATTCAGCAGGAGCAGGTGTGCATGCAAAGGGAATGGGCATTGCCCACATCAGCTCCAGGGAAAATAAACAGCCCCCAAAAAACCCAGCAGCAAACCAACTGCAAAACAAACTGACCATCTCGTGTTTCATGGCGTTCAGAGCTGATGCTGTTTGTCCCTAAAATGGCAGAATTTCTCCTTTTCTCCTCCCCTTGCAGTTGCTTGGGGTCCTGAGGCTCCATGTGGTCATGAATGTGTTTATCCCAGTGCACAGACTGAGCAGCCCTAGTGGATCAAAGCATTTGAATAGCTTTATTTTAATGCTTCTGTCATCAAAAAAAAAAAAAGAGCATTTGGGGCAACAGTATTCCCATGGATGTTTTCTGTGTTGAAATGGATATTGCCTTTCTGAAGCTCTTCCTCCCAGCACCCCTCCCTGTTGGGGGATCAGGAGCATAGCTTTTGTCCCATCCATTGGCAGGAGGCTGCTGGCGCTGGCAGAATGGGACTCTTTCTTGTAGAGCTGTTAAGTCTTTGGTCTAGAAGATGTTTGCACAGCTCTTAAGATTAAGGTTTAAAGCCTCAGAGCATTAAATACCGAGTTGCATTTCTTAGATGCTGATTCATAGGTATTACGAGGAGGGGGGGAAGATGATAGTAAATGGAAGGTGACTAATGCCCTGCTGCAGGGAGCTGCACGTTTGGGATGAGATCCCCAGCATGATGCACCGCTTCTGCTGCGGTTGGTGGTGCTGTGGAAGCTCTCACCCTTCCTTAAACATCTTTCCTTCCCCTAACTGTAGTTACATTTCCAGCAGATGGTGGGTCTATTATGTAACTGAGCAGAAGGCTTTGTTACAGAATTTAGCCAAATTGGGCTTCTCTTCAGATAAGGCCGAACAGAGTCTCAGTTTGGTCATTCACTTCCCTCCCTGTTCTACTTTGGGTTTGGAAGCCAATGTTATTCTGGGAGCTGAGATCTTCCTGTGTTATTAATAACTTGCTTGGTGGGAAAGCTGGGAGGTGAGACGAGCCAAATGGGGGCTGTTGTGCAAAGGTGTGGGGTTTGTGCCTGGGGTTGGGCTGCTGCACTGCCTTCAGATGACCTCCTAGGGCTCCATCAGCAGCACCAAAGAGAGCTGCCAGAGTCTGATGGCGCTGCCCTGGCTTGGCCCTGTTGTTGGACAACCAAACATCTGGCTGTAGGGGATCAGGAGCCTTGAGGCTCCTCTTGCTTTGTGGTAATTCAAGACTGGTGTGCTGTGATGTGCTGCAGAAAGCCAGCACTGGGGGTGTTTGTTGCATCCATCCGGAGGAGTGAGATGCTCCTGGGAAAGCAGAAAATAACTTTGGTTGGAGGGCATGCACAAGCTTGAAGGCAGAGCAGAGGAGAGCAGCAGCCCAGCTTCGTGGTAGCTCCAAGCGGTTCATATGCTAAAATGCCTACCTAGGTGCATTCACTGCAAGGTGTTAGAGTGCTCTCAGGGACAGCTTTTCCTCCAAAAAAAAATGGCAGGGAAGGCCCACAGCTACTGTTAGAAGGGATGCTCGGCCAGTACCTGCAGCTTTGGTCGTTGAGAGCTGTGTGCCCCTGCCCCCAGTGGGCCAGTAACTATAAGCGCTGTGCTGAACCACTGCATCGGTGATTTGAGTAGGTTTTTGGGTTTTTTTCTTCATTTATTTACCCCAAGAAGGGTTTCCCCACTGCCTCAGGGAGTGTATCACTAAGACAGTAAGGTCACAAATACTTCTGTGAAATATGCAATTGAGCAAGTTGATGAGCATTCACTTAACGATAGCAAGGTGTAACCAGGAGCACACACTGCCTGCGCTGCCCTGCTGGGGAGTTCTTTTCACCTTGTTTATGACTTAGAGCTGGCAGCTGGGGAAGCAACCTCTTGGAGTTTAATTTGGAGTGTAACATGCATATTGCATTCTTATACTCCTCCCTGCAGGACTGAAAAAACGTACAAGGAAGGCCTTTGGTATACGCAAGAAAGAAAAGGACACTGATTCCACGTAAGTCAATGAGATCTAAAATACATTAATAAGTAATGATGGCAGGAAGGAGCTGGGTGTGTTGGGGACATCTGTCATCCTCAAGTCACGGCTCACAGCGATGGCTGCATCAGAGCCATTTCCTCCCATGCACACAGAGACCTGCAGCCATGTGTGCTCTGCAGAGCTGTGGAACATGCATGTGTTTGCTGTGCATGGTGACAGTGAGCAGTGATCAGAAGCCCAGTTCCCCTCTGGGAGCTGCAGCAGATTAAACTCTGCCCAAATACTGATGTGCACATCTGCTGGAATCTGTTCAGACACAAATCCCATTGAAACAGGAGGGTCTTTGGTGAGGAGTGGTGGCATGGAGATCAGCTTCACAGCTGGAGGGACTTTGGGTCCCTGGGCCACATCTGGAGGAGGTTGGGTCACAGCCAGCAGAGGAGAAGGCTGTAGCGAGGGAAGTGGGAGATGAACCCTGAGATGAGAGAGGAGCACACATGAGCGTTATGGGGAAGTTTGACAAAAAGGCATTAATCTCCATCAAATTAGCCCAACCCAGCAGCAGCTCCCTTCAGATTTTCTGTGGTGCCATGAGTCAGACATTAATTTGTGGAGAATCTCTGGCAACACATCAACAAGGGGCCAGCCTGGATCCAACAAACACATCCATCCCTTTGCTAAGCTGTCCCTTGCTGACACTCGGTCCAGTGTTGCCTTGTGAGGCTACTTGCTGTGCCCCAGGGCCAAAGCTCCCAGACATGGAGATGATGGGGGATTTTCAGCTCCACCTGCTTAAAAAACCCACCCAAAAAATGAAGCAGTGATACTTCTGGCAGGGAACAGTCTTGCTGCATGGAGTCTGGATTACTCATTTGCAACTTCTACCAACTTCTGCAGCACAGAAGCACTCGGTGTACTGATGTGTGTGCTGTCCAATGACACGAGAGCGCATTGTGCGGGGTTTCTGAGGAGCACACCAGCAATTTGTCTTTGCTGGCAATGCTGTAATGACAGCTCCAGTTGCTGCGGGAGCATTCAGAGCACCATTTCTGCATTTCCTCAAGTGGGGCTGTGCTGGAGCTAACCCAGGTGCCTTTTCTGTTCCTTGCAGGGGGTCACCGGACAGGGACGGCATCGTAAGTACCGCGCAGCGCTGCTCCGCATTAGCAGCTTCGTTGGCCATCATGGGAGCTTGTTTTGTGAACCACTTCTTTCTTAACATAGCAAATAAGTGTCCAAGTCCAGATGAAGCTGTTTAAATAATAATAATTTAGGACTCTGTACAAAATTGACGCGGTGAAAATAGGCAGCAGGTGCTGCATACCCCCTGTGGTGGCTCAGGTGCCTGGAGATTCCAGCTCCTGCTGAGCACAATCGGCTCAGGGCAGATTTTCTGTGGTTGGGGTTAAGGGCAAATCGCCACACACCTGTTTCTTACATCAGTTTGTTTTCTATATTAAACTGAAATGAAGACGATAGCTGTTCTCAAGATGCTGCTGCTTTTCTTGGTTAGGGATAGGAACGCCCCTGCTAGAACCAGGCAGTGGAAGGAGCCACTTTAGCTGCTTGATTTCCAATTTACAGTTAAGTATGTTGGGCTCAGACTGGGACTGTGTGGATTCAGGCATTAGAGGCTTAAAATAAGCCCTAGGGAGACATTCAGCAGGAGAGCAGCACTGCATGCCCAGCCCAGTGCCAGGGACACATGGCATCGCTGTGCAGCGTGGCATCATGCAGACATCAGGGTGCCACATTGCTCCTTTAGAGACGTGCCATCTTGTTTCCTGCATCTGACCCAAGATCCTTGGCTTTGGACTCGCCCACGTTCCTCTGCCATTTGTTACTGGCTGTTAATTAGTGATTAAGAAGCCTGCAGCTCAGGTAGTGCTTTAATCAAGGCTTTGTTCAGCAGTTAAACAAAATCCCAGAAAACGCGATGAAATAGAGTTTTGTGACGTGCAGAAATCTGTAGTGAATAAAGCTGCTGCATTGAGCAATGCCAAATGTAGTTTTGGACAGTGAAAACCCAGCTGACAGCTCCTTGGGCATGGCTGATGGTAGCACTGTGTTCAGATGGGGCTGGAGGCAAGATGTCTGAGCTGGAAACCTAAACACCACTTCCAACCCTTGCCAGCAGCTGATGCTTTCTCCATAAGATGTGTATTTTGGGTTTTGCAGGCAGTTTGCTTTCCTGCATGGTTTCCAGTGCTTCAGTAAGCTGGAGGAAGCAGGAAAGCAGTTTCTTTACTTTTTTTTTTTTTTTTTTTTTGACATGTAATGAGAGCACTGAGTATTTTGAAACAGGCATTGGAGGATGAAGAGATTTCAGTTTTCATCGTATAGCATGTTCTTGCAGAAAGCCATATTGTGGTAGGGATGATAGCCCTGGGGCCAACCTCACTGCTGAATACAGCCCTTCTGGGGAGTCATCCCCTCCTTACAGACCCCACAGTGTTTGCTGATTCCTTTCATTTGTTCTTCTGTTTAAAACCAGCCAACTGCCCAACACGTTAACCCTCTTTCTGCCCAACCCCAATCCATTCCAGCCTCTCAGCCCTCATCTCAATGAGCCACCTTGCCATAGCAAATGTGAGGGCACACGGGAGCAAGGAAAAAATAACTCAGTAAGGAAATGCTTGGTTACAGCTACAAATGAGAACTGAATGTAGTTCTTGTTTAGAGATCCAGACTGCAGGAAAATGTGGGTTAGGTTGAGTCAGACCAATACCTGGGCCACAGAATTGCTGGATCATGTCAGTGCCACCGCTGTTGGGATGCATTGCTGCTGGCAGTCACCTCTGTGTAACAGCAATTTGGTGATGACCCCAAGCTCAGAAGTGAAGGACAATGTTGTACTTGACTGTATTCTGGCTTTACTCTCCATCAGACACCCAGGACTTGGTACATGCTGTTGATCACCCTGAGCCTCACCAGCCCTGGGCAAGGCCCGTTTATAGAAAAACTCTACAGTGGTGTTTGGTCATCATTTTGATGCTTGACTCCAAGTCTCTGTGGCCATTATGGGAGCATGGGGCTGGTGCAGCTGTGATTCTGGTGAGCAATGGGTGTCTGGGGATCAGCTTGCGTCCTGGCCCCCAGAATGGCAGTGGCCTGGCTGCCTGTGATGGAGAACAACAAACCCAACCTGGGTAGAAGCACAGAGCCATCTGCCAGTGCTCCCTGCCCTTGAGAAACGCCATCTTTCAGGGAACTTAAACCCAAGGGTTGGTTTAAAGAGAGCCCGTGAACCTTTGCTCAGCTTATGTGGTAGAGTCTCACTACACAGATTCACAAACACCTGCATATATGCAATGTTCTCCTATTTTTTTTCCTTCATTTTAAGTGTTGAAATCTTGTTTTCCCATGTGTTACAGAAGAAAACGAATGGGGCCCCAAATGGATTTTATGCAGAGATCGACTGGGACAGATATGTAAGTGTCTGAGGGCTCTGCCCCTGCCCTGGGCAGTGCTCCTTTGTGAGCCATGTCCCCCAGCTGCACTCTCAGCTTCAAAGCTGAGGAATACTGAATAAAAATAATGACTTCAGAGACATTATTACAGGTGTGCAAGGAAATTAATCCTTCTCCGATGTGTATTCTGGATCTCTTTTAAAGGAAAGGGTACCAAAGGACATGGTTTAGTGGGTGTGGGGGGACTAGATGATCGTAGTGTACCTTCCCAAACTTCATGATTTTATGTGGCATCAATAAATTGAGAACTGATCCAGAAGGCAGGCTTATAAAATGGTCCAGAAACCAGGTGACCAAGTGAAGGACCATTCTGCACTCTGTAGGTGAGGAAAGCACTGCCCAATGCCTCAAGGACATTGAGGACAACCAAAGACAAACGTGGCTTGCAATTGGGTGTTGCAGAAACAAATTTAGTATTGTGACAGCAACAACAAAAACAGCAGCAGTGTTGATCCTTCGTGTTTTGTGCCCCATGCAGAATTCCCCAGAGCTTGATGAGGAGGGCTACAGCATCCGACCCGAGGAGCCAGGCTATATCCTTTGTTGTGGACTTGGCCTCTTGGCTTACGACCTGCAAGATGAGCTTGGGTTCACAGAAAGGCCACTGGCTTTTATGTGTTGTTTTGTTTTTGTTTTTTTTCCCCCTTTTATTCTCCTTTGAGCTGTTACTCTGCAGCCCAAACCAGCTCCCAGAGAGTGTTATCTATGGCAGTGGAACAGGAGGCAGAGGTTTAATTGCCTCTGATCCATGCTATGGCTTGAGCGGGAGCACAGTACTGGGCACTGGCTTTCCTGTGCAATCTGATGCACTCTACTTGGGTTGTGATCTACAGGTCTATAATGCATCCCCATAAAGGGTGAGGAAACAAGGGTGCAGCCTGTGGATACTGCATGCGTGCCAAGCTTGTGGCTAATAGCGTCCTGCTCACAGCTGTAGAAGGGCAAGTGAACAACAGGGTTCCACCTTCTGCTGATGGAAGACTTTGTCCCCATCAGAGCTGAGGGAGGATGGCTGTGCATCAACGCAGACCTTGCTGGGCTGCAGCAGAGCAGTCTTCTTACCCACTTCCATGGGTAGTGCTGTAGGGCTTGTCCCTGTAGCTGCTCATGCCATTCAGGTCAAGGGTGAGTGCTTCAGAAATGCTTAATTCCCATTTATCAGCGAGATGCAAGTTTTTGACCCATTGCTGAGCTGGTGGGCGCTCCTGATCCCCAAGCAAGCTTCCTTAGCTGCTCTGCACCCACCAAAGGGAAGCACTTCTACTCCTCCAGTGAGTCTGAGGAGGAGGAGGAGGCCCACAAGAAGTACAATATCAAGATCAAACCACTGCAGGCTAAGGATATCCTGAAGAGCGCAGCTACGGTGGATGAGCTGAAGGCATCTGTAGGCAACATTGCACTTTCTCCATCCCCTGTGGTGAGTTATCTCTGTCTCCAGCTCTTTTGTTTGCTTTCTTTGGCCTGGGGAGTCCCTTCCCTTGGGTATGAGTGGGGAACCTTGGCTCTGGGTCCTCACCAACTGGATCCATAGAAAGCAGCCATGGGGTTTCGTCACAGTTCTTGAGCTGGGGAACATCTGTGGGTTCTCCGTAGTGCTGCTGCAGGATGCTTCTTCCCAGGGCTGTCTGAAGGGAGCAGCCATGTCTGCTCCCTGGTATGAATGCTGCTACCCACTGGTTTTCCTAAGGCTTGTTGAGTTTGTTATCACATCCCAGTCTGTTCTGCTGGGAACAGATCTGCGAGTTTTGCTTTTTCTATGGGCTTTGGAGTGGGCTACAGAGTCTCTGCAGCTGAAGCTGCTCAGAGTTGATCCTCAGCCCTTATCTGAAGTGTGAATCAACCTCAAATAGATGCCAAGGTGAAATAAAATCCCCATTTTTATTTCTCTTTCCCAAATTATTGCAACGTCACTAAGCTTACAGAAAGGCTCTGGGAGAAGCTGATGCCTTCTGTTCATAGATGCAAACCTTTTAGTTCTGTGTTAGCCCCTGACAGAAAATATCTTATTTTCTCTTTTTATTTTTTATTTTTTTATCTTTCTGCATTCTTTTAGAGGAAAAGTCCGGTAAGAAATATATATATACATTTTTTGCTTACAAACTTTTAATACAGTCTTGACTTGTGTTCTCTGCTTTCCTGGCACCTGTTCTGCATGTCTCTGGAACTAGAATGTAAAGACAAATAACGAATCTGACAGTTCTGGAAGGCGTGATGTTCCTTGCTATCTTTCACCCTTGGGTTTAACTTGGTGGGTGGAGCAGGGAGTCCAGAGAGGCAGTTGTACCCCATCCCTGCAGACACCCAAGGTCAGAGATGGGACTCTAAGCACATATGAAGCTGTGGGTGTCCCTGTCCATTGTGGGGAGTGGGACCAGATGGCCTTCAAAGGTCTCCGGCTCGAACAGTTATGTGATTCTATGGATAAGAGCCTGGCTGTGTTTCCTGGAGATGTGTGCAGTCCTTGTGCACCATGGTAAGGCTGTGGCTGGTGTTGGATGAGATGTGCAAGGGTGCAACTTTCCCTGAGCAAGTTTTACACTCATCCTTGTGCACCAGCATGTAGTGTTAGGCAGGAAAGTGCATCTGTGTTTTGTGACCACAATGCTACTGCGTGCAGCTGTGGTGTTGTCCTCATAAGGACTTGGTGTGAGGCCATTCTGAGCCCAAAATGGGCAAATTTCCTCTGTCCGGGGGTGCTGGACTCCACTTGTGCTCCACTGCAGGAACTGACCCAGGGCACCAGGATCTAAGGGGTTTAGATGCCAAAATATTCATACCTGAGAGCATCAGAAGGGCAGGTGTGGGATGTGCTGTGTGCCTGGCTTCTGGGGTCTGTGCCTACCAGCACTGCAGCACAGAGTAACCCCAAAACACCCTGAGGGCAGCTCTGCATGCACCACCCTCGTTGCAGTCAGAGATGGCCGTGCATCAGCATGGAGCTGCTTGAAAAAGTGGGGGAAGAGCATCCCAAGGGTCGCAAGCCTGAGTTCCCAAGTAGGGATGCTCCCTGTCCCTGGGATGCCAGTTCAGGCACGGTGCCACACTGGTGCTGACGCATCCCTCTCTGACCAGGTGTCTGTTCTCTCTCCCTTCTCGCTGACCGCAGCGGCGCAGCCCGGTAAGCTCCTTCCTTGCACCCTTCCTTGCTGCCTTTGGCCATGCGTTTGTGCAAGCAGTGATGTTGCAATGCTCTGGAGGGGGACGTGAGGGGGCTTTTACTGCATGTTGTGTGGCGAGAGCGGGGCTTTAGGTTGCTGACCATGCATTATTTGGCATAGATCAGTCCCCAGCCCATCAGAGGTGAGGATTTTGTTTTCATGCTGCCTCCAATGGGTGCCCATCGGGTTGGAGTGACAGCTGTCAGCCATGTGCCAAGGCAGCTGTGAACCCGGAGCTGCCAGGTGATGGGTTTATGGGGCACAAAGTCTTCTTGCTAGGCTCTGTCTGCTCCCTGCCTGCTGGGAGCAAACCCGATTTCCTAGCACATACGTGCGGGTGGGCATCTCTCAGCCACGCACAGTAACTCAGCCAATTTCTGCCCTGTGTGCTGTGCTGCTGCTGTGGGTGCTGATCGCGACGTGCCTGTGTCCCTGCACACCCCGCTGACCTCCTGTGTTTGTAATTCCAGGGGATGATTAAGAGGAATTTATCCAGTAAGTATGTCCTAATTAATTAGTGCAGACAGCTTGGCGGTGGCGGCCTTTAAAATTAATTTAATAAAGGGAAGGGGGGGAGGGGGACGGCAGGTTTGCTGTGGCAGAAATGATGGCACCCAAGTGTCCCCTTAAGGAAGGCCATATGGACATCCCTGGGGTGCCCTGTAGCAGAAGCACAGCCATCTACTGTAGAGACAAGAGCCGAATTAAGCCTAGGCTTTTCTCTGCCTGCACCTCTATAGTGGGCTTAGGATGGGATGTGGGGGGCGGTGCGGGGTTGGGGGCACAGCTCTAACTTTGCTCTGTCTGACCTTGCACAGGTGAGGAGATTGCACGGCCCCGGCGCTCCACACCCACGCCGGAGCCCAGCAGGTCAGTCTGGGGGGTACATGTGAATACACACCATACATCTGCAAAAGCTCACTTGTGCATCAGCCAGCACAAAGGCCTCAGAGCTCCGTGGAGTCCATCAGTAGGGCTCTCCACTATGGCTACCATTAGGTTGTCATCCAGATGTGACTTGAAGCACCTTAGCACACAATTACGTGCATGCCGAGAGTCTAAACTACACCAGCTCCCTGCAAGTACAGGTTTGTGCTCAAGCACAGCTTCTCACAGCACATTGTGAATGTTGTGTGCCTCTGTCCCACAGCAGGAAGCCCCTGGAGGACCCAGCCACACTGGCACCGCTCTTTGGGCCCCCGCTGGAGTCAGCATTTGAGGAGCAGAAGCTGGACGGTGTGTTGGGGTCTGCACCCATCCCTCATAAAGAACAGCTCTGCTTAAATCTTGGAGCAAAGCTGTCCCTACGTGTGGCTCTGCACGTATAGCCTAAGAAAAACAGTGTGAGATGCTTAAATGTGATATAGAGGAGTTGCTGGGTTTTTGTTCCCCATCTGTGTAAATGCAGTTGGGTTTATTTGTTTAATACCTGGGTTATTTTCTGCGTATCCTCAAATTCCAGAGGATTTCAGTAATTAATTCAATGTTTCACTTAATGCAATAAGCCTCCAAAGACACAAATTGGCATTGTTTTATTTGTCAAGCATCGTGAGTGTCAAATTAATTGCACGTCCTGTTTAAAAAGCAGGCAGCCCTGTAGTTATCTAACATTACAGGGGAAATAAATGCCTTTAATTAGTGAGGGGTTGCCATCAGTGTTTAGTTTCCTCTCCTTGCAAGCTTTAGATGAGCACACCTTAACTGCTCCTTCTGCTATTTGCAGGAAAAAACCTTTATCATCTCCATTGCACTTGTATTTATTTGCTTTCTTTTCCCAGCTCCTCTGGACCAGCCTGAGATCTGGGGCTCCTTCCAGCCCAACAGCACTGAGTCCCCAAAGCTGCAGAGACCTTTTCCAATTGGAAGTAAGTTGGCAAAAAAACAAACACGTGTATACATACATGAACCCAAACCTGTTGTTGCTGCTGGCTCTAGATAGTGTTGGGAGAACAGCCCAGTGCTGTGCAGAGGGAGCAGTAGGAAAGCAGTGCAAACCATTCATGGAGATCATTTTCTCCCACCTTCCTTGATTGCCCTGCATTCAGCTGGGCATAGAGCTGGTCCCCATAGCACACTGAGCCAAGGGAGGGTCAGGTTGGATACTGGGAGAAATCTCTTCTCCCAGAGAGCGCTCAGCACTGCACAGCTGCCCGGAGGTTGGGGATCCCCATCCCTCGGGGGTGTTCCAGAGCTGTGGGAATGTGGCACTGAGGGATGTGGGCATAGAAGGGTGGGCCGGGGAGCTTAGAGGTCTTTTCCAACCCAAATCATTCTATGCTCTCCTCTCTTTCCCTCCCAGCTCCGCCACCACTGCCTCCCAAGAACGTCCCGGCCACGCCGCCCCGCACTGCATCACCCCTGACAGTGGCACCAGGTAAAGGCCAGGCGCACAGCTCCTCGCACGTGACGTAGTGCGGCCGGATCCGGACCCGCGGGGTTGGCTCCCCCAGGGCGTCCCATGCAACGGCTGCGTTTCAGATGTGAATTTGGTCCCTGTGTGTCCTGTGTTGCGTCCGTGTTTTTTCAGCAGATGTCGCGTTCAGGGCGATGCTGCAAAGACGTTGCTGGTCCTGAGCTGGTGTTGCTCTGGCTCGGTTGCTGCTCTCTTCTCTCCGTGCTGCTGGTGTCAGTCACTTCTGGGAGCAAAATATAAAGCCAGCCTTAAATCCTGCTCTGCACTGGCAATAAATAGCTCTGCTGCCTCTCTCCCACTCTGCTTCTGGGCCTACAGAACAGTGGGCTTGGGCTGCTCCTGCCCGCTGTGCCCTCCCAGGTTGTGAGCAGGGAGAGGCATGTATGCTGCACCGTGAGTGAAGGAAAGCTGAGTGAGGCATTGGCATGCAGCTGGAGTAAATCCAGTGCTTTATAAGCATGCAATAGATGGTGCTGCTTATAGGAAGAGATTGCAGTTCCTGCTCCTCCAGGCTGTGCTGTGGGAGGTCAGACATACTCCTGCACAGCATGTGTGCAAAATGCAGCCTCACTCCATGTCCCTGAGCTGCAAACAGTGAGCAAAGCAGCAAACTGAGCTGGGACAGGAGTGTGGGCATTGCGCTGTGCTGGGGTGTGTGATGGAGCCTTGTAGCCAGGTATTGTCAGTCATTAACAGCAATGTGTGGTGGTGGTGGCAGCTCAGAGAGCAAGCAGAGAGCCGCCAGAGCTTCATCTGCTGCCGGCTGCAGCTGAAATACATACACCCTGTGTGCTGTCCTGTACTGCATGCTCTTCGCCAGTGGGAGCGTCAAACCAGCATGTGTAAATGTATATATTTATATTTATGTGTGTATAAATATATATATGAGAGGAGTGTGTAAGAGAGCTTCAGTTTGCTGTGCTTACTGTGCGAGTCTAATAGCTAACTAATAATTCCTGGTGATGATAATGACGCTATTTAGCCGTGACATAATGAAGGCTGTGTGCCAGCTGTAAATGGCGCGTGGAAAGGAGCACCTTGTATGAGGCAACCCGTGGGGCTGGGCAGCTGCATGCTCTCCTGTGCAGTGTATGTATTTCAACCAAGTGTGCTTTGGGAATGATGTCCCCCAGCAGCCGGTGAGCCACGTGCTTGGCAACGTGCTTTGAGCATCCCTCTAGAAAGCAGCTGGCGCCGAGCCCCACGCCACTGCAGCCCTCTTAATGCTAAGCTTAAACCCACTGCTTTGACCGCAGGAGGTGACCAGCCAGCCACGGAGGCCAAAAGTGACAAACCACCATCAATCAATGACTTGGACAGCATTTTTGGCCCCGTGCTATCCCCCAAGTCTGTGGCTGCTCACACGGAAAACAAGTGGGTCAATTTTTCCGATCCATCCCCGGAAAACACGACGGCAGTGCCGAGGCCCCGGGAGCCAGCAGCATCCCCCCCGGTGGCAATGGGCAGCCCGGGGGCTGAGCCGCCCCGTGCCCTGCCCTCCCCGCTGCGCCTGGACGAGCTGCAGAAGAAGGCTTTGGAGCAGCCCTACGCAAAAGAGGAGAACATGGAGCCAGCGGTCGCCTCACCCAAGGAATTTGGGCCGGGACAAAGAGCCACCCCACCGCCCCCTCCGCCGCCCACCTACCGTACAGTCGTGTCATCCCCCGGGCCGGGTGCCAGCAGCGGAGCAGGAAGCCCCAGCGGTACGTCCTGCTGCCCCGCTCTGCTTCCCCTGCCCTCGGCCTCCGTGTCGTCCTCATCCCTGCTCCCCGCTGTGTCTGGTGTCAGATGGGTCTGAAAGCCTTCCCTAAGCCTTCCTTCCCAAAGCTGAGGTGTTCCATCAACCCTTCCCACCTCTGCTTTGTGTGTACACCCAGCGTCACAGGGAAGAGGGGGGCTATGTTTGCAGCTGTGTCATCTGTAGGCTTCAGAGTGAACAGAGGCACAAATACTTCAGGTAAACCATCACCTTGGCGAATAATCATGCAGCTTTTTCAGTCTGCTTGTCTCGCACCATTGCCATGGGGCTGTTGGGACCTCAGTAGGTGAGTGGGTGAATGCAGTCTCTGTCTGCCCTGCCCTGGTTTTGGCAGCAGGCAGCCACAGCTGGGTTTTGAGAAATGGTTTTCAGAATGTGTGTTTCAGAGGGACAAAACCCGATAGCTTTGCCCGATGTGTGCTGCCTGCCTGGCTTCACCTGCTCAATTATAAATGTGTGTCTACTGGGGCAAGCAAGCTCTGAGAGGTCAGTTTACACCAGATCTCTGAGCTTGAAAAGCTGCAGCCTTCTTGTGTTGTGTCAGGGCAGAAGCAGGGCCCTGCACCGGGACTTGTGCCACTCATAAAAGCCATATAATATCCTGAGTTGGAAGAAACCCATAAGAATCACTGAGCCCAACTCCTGGAACATCCTCACCAGCTGCCATCCTGCATGGAGACCTAATCCAGGATCGACCTGTGTCCCACTGCCGTTACCAGCTTTACATCAAGAGCAATGGGTTGGAATTGGTCCCAATCACTTTAACGACACCTTGGATGGGGTGGGAGAGCGGGTAGGACCCCCCTGCTCCGTGTGTGGTTGGAGGAGCTTTGGTGTCCGTGGTGCTTTGCTTTTCTTGTGAGCGCGGCTTGGCTCTGCGGCAGTGCTGTGACTTTGTTGTGCTGCTCTCATGAGGTTCTGGGGGTTGGTGGGGTGGGATGGGGACTCTGGGGGTTGCAGCCCGTATCCCAGTGCACCACTCAGGGCTGGAGCGTCTCCAGGAGGTCACCGTGGGACCGTTGAGTTTCTTCATTAATTACTTCCTGCCACCATGATGGCTGAGCTGCACTGACTGAGCTGAGGATGGGGGTGTGATGGTGGGGCAGGTGGTGAAATTCCTCTTGGTGTGAGCTGCCTGCAGTCAGGCTCCCTGTTCAGAGCATTCTCATCTCTTACTTGTTACCTTCTGTCTACTTTCTGCGTGCTTTGCAGACTGCTGGCTGTTATTCCTAACCAGTCCAAGGTGGGAAAGCAAGCTGTAAACATGCCAAATGTTGAAACATGCACACAAAAATAGTACAAACCTTTATACAGCCGCACCTAGTGGCAGTTGGATGTTGCTCCATCTCCCTTCCTGCTCCTCTGTTCTCTCTCATTGTGAGGTCTGGGTTGCTGTACCCAACTCTGCTCCACCGTTGGGGTGCTGGGGACCCTGAAATGTTCTTGCCTTGGTGTCCCATGGGGGTCTGGTTCCACCATGGCTGGGGAGGGAATCAGAGTGTGAGCAGGTTCCTGCGGGGTCACGGTGAACTGCTGATGGTTCTTGCTGCAGAGCGACCTTACAAGGGGAGGAACGAACGTCTGTGAGTTAAATCTGGCACCTGGAAGGCCTTTGGCCAACTGGTGGGACACTGCTTCTGGATCAAATGCATGTGTGGATCCATCACATGACATTGAGTGCTGCTGGATTACCTTTGCATAATTCTGGTTTGGCTTTGAAAGTGACACGGGGGGGGGGGGGAATCAACCTTTGGCACCCAAATTAAGCTTCTAAATAAGAAGAGCTTAATTTTCAGATGCTGGGGTGAGTCGCTGGGGCTTATGCTCTTTAAACAAACCTACATCTCATCTTAGCACTCATTACATGGGTCCAAGCTCCGTAGGCTTTGCTTCGATGTTTTCTTACTGTGAGCTCACATTCAAAAAGCTCAGTGAGCTGTTTTCTTTCTAAGTGGGGAAATACAAATCTAAAAGCATTATCTTACTGTCTGCTCAAGCAGAAAGTGCTGCTCCAAACCAGAGTGTGCTCCTGCAGTCTGTGGTGCTGGTAACCAACACTGGGTAGGTGGGTGCTGGGATATTGGGGCAGCATCGCCATGCTGCAGGTCCACTTCTGTTGGCCAGCAGTGGTCTGTGATCATTGCACAGTGCTGATATCAACAAACTTACCTTGGGAGGAAGGTTATCCATGGAACAAAGAGATCCACTGGGTTTTCTCTTAAGCATCTCTTAAAATTTCTGTCTGGAGGCAAAAAAAGTCAGCATGGCCACAGCTGCCAATGACCAGAGTGACCATGAAAGCCTCACCATCTTCTTCATGGAAGCTCTCCCAGAGAGCTGGGCTGTTGGCAGTGCTCCCAGCAGATCTGCTTTTCCGCCCTTCCCACCCTTGTTCTTTTTCACTGGGACAAAGCCACATCCCTGCCTTGGCCTCTTCTCTTCCCATGGCTGGGACTGACCCCACGATGGCCCCATGCACTGCCCTGGGAGCTGCAGAAGCCTGATGAGAGCTGTACCAAGACAAATGGAGGAGGGACATTCAGGAAGAAGAGTCCAAACCTCTTCTCTTGCCGACAGAAGCCATCAGGATGGAGGGGAAGAAGTGCCCTTTCCCTACAGCTCTTGGCACAACAAAAGCTGTTGCAGGTGGAGATTTCATTCCCAGTTCATCGTTTTCTCCTGCTTGGGTAAAGGTGCCAGACTCTGGGTACTGGGGTCACCCCCACAAGTACTGCAGCAATCACGGTCTGCTCAGCTGTGCAAAGCTGCTGCTCTGGAGCAACCATCACAGGAGAATTGATGCGGGAACATCCTGTCTCCTCCCCATCAGCTCCTGGGAGCAGTGTCTGTGTGCTGATGTGCTGCTGATGCTCCATCTCTATTGCAGGCTCCTCGTCCCCAGCTCGCCCTGGCACACCACTGGCCGCCTGCAGCACCCCACCACCCCCACCACCACGGCCCCCATCCCGACCCAAGCTGCCCCCTGGCAAGCCCTCCGTCGCAGACCTGGTAGGTGCAGCATGCTTGCATTTGCAGGGGCTGCTTGCAGTTTTTGTTGCTATTTATGCACAGAAGTAAATCATGTGGGAGAACAGCAGTGAGCTGCATCCCTGGGGGGTGCAGGAGTTGGGGTCTGCCTGGGGTTAGCGGGTATAGAGAGGGTGGAATGTTATCCCTGTGCCAAAAGGGATATGGTGCCCGGTATGAAACCTGGGCCACTGGGATGTGAAGCAGCACAGGAAGTGGGGATGGGAGCATCAAGGCAATGCCTGCTGATACTGCTTGCACTAAATGCAACCCTCCCCACGGGGGCCCCAGGCTGTCAGCGGGAGGGGGTGCACCACGGTGGCATCTTCAGCAATAGCTTCTGTTTGTTTAATACAAATGTTCTGTGTGTATTTTCTTTAACCTTGTGTTATTTTGTGTTTTTCTCCAGTCCAGGCCTTTTAGCCCTCCTATTCACTCATCCAGTCCTCCTCCGATAGCACCTTTAGCCCGTGCTGAAAGTACTTCTTCCATATCTTCCACCAATTCCCTGAGCGCAGCCACCACTCCCACAGTTGGTAAAAATCCTACGGCACTGCTTTTCTTTCACCTTTCCTTCCTCCAAACGGCCTTGAGAGAGCGCCCAGCCCCTTTTGGTTTGCTAGCTCGGTCTTTGGGTTCAAGCTCATTCATTGTAATCAGGTTTTCACATGCAAAAAGGGACAGGAGCTGGGTGTGGAGGGTCCTCAAGGTGTTGTTGTCATGGAGGCTTTCTCCAGCAGTTATAGAAAGTACGTGTTTGGGGGAGGTAGAGGTTATCACTAAGTGCAAAGCAACACGGAACATGCTTGTGGTTTATAAGGTTGGTCAAAAGCAGCTTTTTGTTGGGGATGCTCATACCCTGGAAGGGAGGGGGGCTGGAAGCCAGATTCTGGGATCCAGGAAGCAACAACTGCTCCATCTCTTCAAATGTCTGAAATATGCATTTCCCCTTAAAGTGGGAGTGGGAAATGGGGTCTTGGCAAAGGCTCTTCGAATCCCTTTGCTTCACACATCTTCAATCATAACAAGGTGCTGCTTCTGGAGGAAGCATCCTCAGAAACACGTTTCTTGCTCAACCCATGGGGTGGCATGGGGCACCTGCAGATACTTCATGTCTGGCTGCCAGCTCTGAGGTCTGTGCTCTGGGGGTGCTGCCTCCCCCTGTGCCTCTGTCCCTGTCACCTTGCCTGCACCCTCGCTTCCTGCAGTTCCATTTCGACCAGGATCACACCCTTCTCCCTTTTCTTTCCATGGCTTTTCCTGTTGGTTGTCCTGTTCTGATGATGTGCCGGTGCACTCAGCGGGAATGTCCCATGACACTGCTGTGCCACAGGCTGGCAGCAGCTGGGACCCTTGCCACAGGAGCAGGAGAACATTGCTAGAGAAAGAAGTGTCTGGAAAAGCAACACACATTTGTTTGTGTCTGTGTGCTTGGCAATGGTGTGAGGCATTCCATGGGATCTCCCAATATGAGGACACTGGGAATGGCAGCACTGCCTCCCGCCCACATCTCCATCCCACTGGGGCTTCACCCTGGAGGTGTCATGGGTGTATCTCTTCAGCTTCAGCACAGCATGCTGCTGCAAACTCATGGAGGCTTTGATGGAAGACAACTGAGTAAGGAGCTGGTGGAGACCAGCAGGAGAGTTGGTATGAAGTTTAGGCTGTGCTCATTGCCAGCAGCCCTGCCCTTGTGTGGAGTTCCCCCTGGGATGAGCTTGAAGTATCTCCTCTAAGTGCTCATTTTTACATATACATATTTCCCTTTCCCATATAATTTAATGAATGAAGCTTCTTCATGATGTTTTGCAGTGACTCAGTCTTTGCTCGCTGTATCCATCCCAGCCCCAAGCCCCGGGCAGGGGTAGGCATCACCACGATGCTCCCCTTGCCCCAAGGGCTGCAGCCCCTCATCAGAGCAGACAGTGCTCTCACTGTAGGGTCTGATGATGCCCTGGGGATGTTCACCTCCACCACGATGCCCCCAGAGCAGCAAAGTCCATCAGAGCTCATCCAAGGGTGCTGGGAGTGGTGGTTTTCTTGCGTGTCCCTCATGCTGTGCTGGTGTGCTTCCATCCTGGTTGCATGTGCGGTCACTTAATGCGAAGAAAGAAGCTGTTGTGTTTGTGCCAGTGAGCGTGCAATTATTTTTCTCGTTAAAATTCTTCTCCTTCTGTTTTTGTTGATAGATCGTGCTGCTTGATTTCACTTGGGACTTGTTTTCTCGTTGTTTTTCTTTATTACTCTCTTCTTTGCGTTTCTCCCATTCATGTTGTCGGAAGAGGATGCCCTATGACAAAGTGCCCACGTCTGCACTTTGGGGAAATGTGGCCTGAAAGTGGCCCTGGTGACAAAAAGCACCGAGGGGTGACATGCCATCACCTCACACGTTCCAAAGGAAAGGGTTTGTTGAGCAGCTCAGGATGCCGTTCTCCCCCAAACCCATCAATTTAGCAGCATTGGTTTCAGGCGCTGCTTCTTCTGCAGCAGTTTTGGGGTGGTGTGAGTGCAGCTGACTGGTGACAGTTCCAGTCGGGCGTCTGCTGCACCGTGTGTGTGTGTCCACGTGGAGTTGTGTGCCCTGAGATTCACATCGCCGTGCTGCAGTCCGGCCACACGCACTGCCCTGGTCATGCCCATCATGATCCCCATGGGATGCGGTGTCGGCACGGTCTAAGGCACCCAGTCCTCTCCATCCATAGGCAACAAGAGAAATCCTTTCCAAGTGGACAGAGATTCCCTTCCATTGGGCTTCCATAGCTTTGCTTCCTGCTTTGTTCTCCAAGCAAACCCTGAGTTTCAGAGCCTGCTTCCGCCCCGCACGCTCTTGGCTTGCTGCGCTCCCCGCCCCATAGCGAGACGGATGTCCTGCTCTGTGACTCACTCTATGTCCTTCTCTCTCCCTCTCCTGAACCTTCCCCATCCCGCTTCACCTCCTGGCCATACAGAGAATGAACAGCCTTCCCTCGTTTGGTTTGACAGAGGAAAGTTTTATTTGACTTTCGAAGGTAAGTAGTGCGCAGGCTCAGCTGCCGCTCGCTCCCCGCTCGCTCGCTGCCCCGGGCTCCCCGATGCTGCGGCCCGGTGCTGTGCCAGGTGCTATGGCTGCTTTGGTTGGGTTGATGCTATTCATCAGTGAGCTGTTTCCCTGTTGGTTTACTTTAAAAAAAAAAAAAGAAGAAGAAAAGAAAAAAAAAAAGAAGGAAATATCTCAGTACCTGGGCTGAATGCCATGGAATTGCTCCAAAAGCACCGGTGCTGCCAGGAATAGGACTGTCACTCTGGGCTTGTGGCTCCCCTGGGAAACTGCAGGCATTGCACATGCAGAGACCCAGCCAGGTAAAGCCATCCCCTACAGTTATCCTGCTTGCTACCTGCAGAGCAGGGCTTCAGCAGGCAAGTCCTGAGCAAAACCAGGTGCTTAGAAACACTCAGAAATTTTTTTATTATTATTTTTTCTGATTCATCAAATTGATTCTGTCACCTTTGAGCTTTCTTGCCCTGCCACCCAGTGCAAGGGAATGAGCATCCTGCAGCTGGGGCTGCCGGGGACATGGCTGCATGGCTCCAGGTTCCCCATTGCTCCAGGATCCCCATGGCTCTTGCATTCCCATGAATCCTCGTCCCACGACAGGGTGTGCAGAGCCAGACTGGGCTGCTCAGCTGCTTGAGCAAAGTGCTTTTGGTGAGGGTGATGCCAGCACTGGGCAGTGGTCAGTGTTGGTGAGGGGCAGTGCTGCTGCTTCTTCTCCTCTTTGCCTTTTCCATCGGGGCAGCTGCTGGCCCCTTCCTTCCAGTGCTCATTTGGGTCTTGCTATTTTCCTGAGCTGGGTTCCTGTCCTCTCTCCTCCTCCTCCTCCTCACTGGATTGGGCCCACAGCCCTGTGAACACGCTGGGGGATTGGTGTGGTTTGGCTTTGTAATGATCATCCGATCTTTTTGGCTGTTGGATCTGAAGTTCTGCGGATCACTATGGCAGTGTTTCTGGTTGGGGTTCCTTTTGTTGCTGTTGTTTCTTTTTGGCTCTGGGCAGAGTATTTGCGTACCGTGGGGTAATTTTTCTGTACTGGTGATGTTTGGACTGTGCTCGGATGGCTTCGCTCCTTCCTCTCTATTCTGCACCATCATTCAGGCAGCAGTGAGGCAAACCACCCCTGTGTGTGACAGCACTGTGATGGGAAACCTGCCCCGCTCCCAATGGATAACAGCAAACGAACCCAGTGGGCTCCGAAGCCCTGCTGGGTGGATGCTGATCTCCTGCATTGTCACATTCCTTGGCCACAATGAAACGCATCCAAAAATGACTCCAGAAGCTGGGGCTAAAAGCTCATTGGCCCCATAGCACATACTTAAATCAGTCTTCCTCCTCCAAAAGGAGCGGTCAGGCACTGGGACAAGCAGCCCGGGAAGCAGAGGAGCCTTGTCCAACCTTGATCCCGTGATTCTAAGTCAAAATGTTTTTGTGGAAGAAAGCTGATTACACTCTGGATTTATTAGAATAGTGCGGGGGTTCATGGGGAGAAGTGGAGGGTGTGAGAGCTGTGGGTGCCGGTTGCGTCCAAAGGATTTTTGTCCTTCTTCTGTGCCGGGGCCTGGGGTGAACATGTTCAGCACAAACCCAGGTTTATGGGGTGAGTGATGGCAGCAGGAAACCTTTGGGGAACCCAGTCTGGGTGATCCCAGTGGCTCAGCAAATCCTGCTGCGGCAGAGATCGGGGTGCATTGTGCACCACTGGCATAGCGTCGTTATCTGGGCTGAGCCCATGCATCCTCCTGGGGCTCCTCGTGCGTATGGCCAGGGGGAGACGTGTGGCTGTGTTCATTGATAATGCCCTGCTGTGCTGCTTTAGGGCTCCAAAAGGAAAATCCCAGCCTTGGGGAAGGCTCTCCTGTGCTGCTGGGGGGAAGCAGCTGTGTTTTCACGTGTTGACGCTCTGCCATTACAGTGAGTCCCTCAGAACTCAAGGTGTAGTCTCACTGACAGATTTCCCGTGAGACTATCCAAATCCCAACGTCCCACGCTCACATCCCACTGCAGGAAAGCTGCAATGCCACGAGGCTGAGCCACCAGCCAGGACCTCAGCCAGCAAGCACAGGCACCGGCAGCAGGACGGCGGAGGGGAGATGGGCTTGCTTGCAGAGCAGCACGAGCTGGCAGCAACCTGCTGCATGGCATTGCTCACTGCTGCCTTCCCATGCAGCAGCTTGGGCTGGCAGCTTGCATGCGCTTGCATGCTCAAAGCGAAATCATTCCTGAACAGTGCATTTCAGGCTTTGCCATCACTTGTTATGCATTTTCGGGACAAAATGACCCTAGCGTTGAACTTGATGTACAAGATTGCAAAACAGTGCATTGTGGAGAATGTGGGCATGCTGGAGCCTGCGGGGCTGTGGTTTGTAGGCAGCACTGCTCCTGGCCACCTCCTGGGGACATTTCCTGGTCCCCAGAGGCTCAGAGCCCACAGGACCTGCGTTGGGCACATTTCTCCTCAGGTACAGAGCTTGCCTGGGGCTGGTGATGAGGCACCAGCAGGCACGTTGCATGCTGGTTGCTCTCAATTGTTCTGCCCTCAGTGCTGGGGGATTTCCAGCATGCCTCAGGTTTTCAGACTTCCCCTTGCACTGCTGCTGTCCTCCTCTTGCTGCAATACACCACGGCTAGGCTGCAAGCAGTCATGTATGTGGCCAGATCGCTACTGCTTCACAGCCTGAACCGTGGCATAATGCAGCCCTTGGTGGATTTGCAGCCCTTGGAGTCATACATGAGCTGTGCAGGGAAGCAGTAGTATTACATGTATTACAAGTGTGCATGGAGAGCTGTGGGCAGGCCTCGTGCAGCCCCTTTGAATCCCCATTGAGCTGCAGGGTGAGGAGGTGAGCATCCCACTCAGTGCAGAGGGGACACCAAACTGCCCTGCCTCTGCTGGGGGCTGCAAACCTAAATCTGCACAAACCATCCCCATGCAGGGCTTGGTGCCCCATGCTCGTGGCGAGGCTCCTCTGCTCATTTCCTTGCTTGCCTTTTAAGGGGAAAAGAATCACTTCAAAATGATTTTCAAGCCTAAGACAAAGCCTTGGGGTCCTCTTCTTTTCACCCTTTGCCCACAAAGCCACATGCTGGGCTCTAGCAGGGTACACCCTGGGGTGGGTGCAGGTCCCCATCCTGCAGCTGACTAGCAGAGGCTCTGCTCTGTTGTAGGGTCATCACGGGGCCCCAGCCCGCTCACCATGGGGGCACAGGACACCCTGCCCGTCGCTGCCGCCTTCACTGAGACCGTCAATGCTTACTTCAAGGGAGCTGACCCCAGCAAGTAGGTGCCGGCTGTGGGGTCTGGGCATGGGTGTGGGAGCCTGGGGTGGGAAGGGGGGGCTTTCACCACACCATCCATCCTGTGCTGCATTTTGAGCCCTCCCTTTCCTCCCCCTGGGTCTCTGTGCTTGGTGCTGCAGGTGCATCGTGAAGATCACGGGGGAGATGGTGCTGTCCTTCCCGGCAGGCATCACCCGACACTTTGCCAACAACCCCTCTCCGGCAGTGCTCACCTTCCGTGTGCTCAACTACAACCGGCTGGAGCACGTCCTGCCAAACCCCCAGCTCCTCTGCTGGTGAGCCCCTACTCACACCCGTGCTGCCTGCCTGGGCCAGACAGCTCTTTACAAGGGCAGGCTGCTTGCAAAACCGCCTGCCTTGGGGTCTGGGCAAGTTTTGAGCAGGAAATTCTCAGCCCCTAAATATTGCTGGAGCACTTCCTTTGAGATCAGCCCCTTTGCCAAGCAGCACACAGTGGGTTTTGCTCATTTTCTACCCACTCTGTTCAGTTCAGATCCTGCTTGTAAAATGGAAGAGCCCATGGGAAGCTCCTGTGGTGGGGTCAGCATCCCTGGGGGTGTTCAAAGCCGTGAGGATGTGGCACTGAGGGACGTGGGCAGTGGGGATGGGGGGTGGGCTGGGGTTGGACTGAGGATCTCAGAGGTCTGTTCCAACCTGAGTGATCTTCTGTTTCTATGTCACTGCTGGCAGTGACAGCACGCAGAGCGATGCCAGCACGAAGGAGTTCTGGGTCAACATGCCAAACCTGATGACGCACCTCAAGAAGGTATCGGAGCAGAAACCACAAGCAACCTATTACAATGTGGATATGCTCAAGTACCAGGTATGGCGTTTTGTCAGGTTGAATTCTGCCACAAACGTGTGCTGTAGGTGGTATGGTGTGCAGGAGGTGGGGTTTCCATAGCGCAGAGGAGGTGGGGGCATGCTGTGCTGGGGTACGGCACTCAAGTGGGGGCCCAGCATGAACCTTCTATGTGAATGTGAGGTGTTGTCCCCTCTAAAACGCATTGCAATGACTGAGTCTGTAAAATGGGATTTCTCCCTTCACCCCTATGGAAACTAAGTGTTTTTTCTGTCATTTTGGAAGGTATCTGCCCAGGGTATTCAGTCTACTCCATTAAACCTTGCAGTGAGCTGGCGGTGTGAACCTGCAAGCACTGACCTCCGCATCGACTACAAATACAATACAGAGGCAATGACCACACCGGTAGCTCTAAACAACGTCCAGTTCCTCGTCCCCGTTGATGGAGGAGTAACCAAGCTGCAGGCTGTGCTCCCACCCGCTGTCTGGTAGGGATCACTGAGGATCATTGAATCCAGCACCCAACCCAGCACTGGGCTCTTACACAACATGGGGTGGGCGACCCAACTCTTCAACCCCAAGTGATGTTTTCTTGCTTGAGTCCAACCCAAAGCCACATTCCCAAAACTAAAGATCTAGAGCGTGGGCTGCCCTGAGCACATGCTTTTGGCAATGTTTGGATGGGGTCCGTGTAGCACCCTGCTTCCTACAGAAATGCTCTTCCTGGTGTGTTTGCAGGAACGCAGAGCAGCAGAGGATATTGTGGAAGATCCCTGATATCTCTCAGAAGTCGGAGAATGGAGGTAATGCTGTGAACACGCGTGCTTGTGGTGGTGGGTACTTTGAGCAGGCGTTGGGTTTGTCTGCACACAGAGTCACAGGCTGGCCCGGGTTGGAAAAGACCTCAAGGATGATGAATCTCTAAGCTGCTCGTCACAGGCAGGGCCACCAACCTCCACAATTAATAGCAGCCCAGGCTGCCCAGGGCCCCATCCAACCTGGCCTTGAACGGGACGGGGCACCCATAAATTGCGGGTGCTTGCAGGGAGAGGATGCTATTTGGGATTAGGGAGCAAAGAGCCTGGAAAATGCAGGGCGTCAGCAGGACTGCTTTGCCAACCGGAGCTGGTGATGCAGAAGGACGGGGTGGAAGCGCAGTGGGAGTGCTGGCTCTAACGCTGCTCTCCTGCAGGCGTGGGCTCACTGCTAGCCCGCTTCCAGCTGGCGGAGGGGCCCAGCTCCCCAGCCCCCCTGGCCGTGCAGTTCACCAGCGAGGGCAGCACGCTCTCCAGCTGTGACATCGAGCTCGTCGGTGCCGGCTACCGCTTCTCGCTCATCAAGAAGAGGTTCGCGGCAGGTGGGTGCCAACCCCTCCTGAAATGTCCCCTCTCGGGGCTGTTTCCCATTTGTGGGGGTCTCTGAGGGCGCTGCGTGGGGATGGAGGCGGTGGGTGGAGGAGCCTGGCTGATGTCTGGTCCCGTTCCCAGGTAAATACTTGGCCGATAACTGAAGGAAACGCATGGAAAATAACCAAGGACTACTGTGAGCGGAACGGGTTTTAATTACAGCTTAAGGAAAACGAACTAAATCCTGCACTTGGGACATTTCTGTTGGAAGTGTCGATGACTTTCAGATTTTTTCCTCAGAAAACACTGTCTTGACCAGTCCTACAGTATTTACTTCTAGATGTAACATTGTTAATGGTTTTAAAATGTAATTATTGTATTTGTAAATTGTACTCATTCCAGTAAGGCCATATTTTGGAAGTTAGACACTTGAGTTTTAGCCTTTTACCATTCATGAAATGGATGTAATTTAAACCGTGGTATATAAATTTAATAGTAGTACTGTTGAATGGCACAATGCTTACAGAGGTAGATTACATTTTGTCAATATATACGATTTAAATTCGGTGCAGATAGCTGTTATGGGGGGGTGCCTCACCGAGGGAGCTCCTTCACTCCTCTCCTGCCCACAGCGTGTCTCATGGCGGTGAATAAAGCTCTCCATCTTCAGGTTCAGCTGCTTGACGTGCAGAGCAGTGTTTCTGTGCAGGCAGAGCTCACAGCTCACAGTGGCACCGTGGTTTTGGGGATGCATCCCCAAAGCAGGCTCCGGATTTTTGGTTGTGTTTCCACCATCCTTTGCTTGCTTCTTCTATTCATTTCCTTTGCTTTCTGAAAGCCCCGCAGGTTTAGGAAGTGCTGTAAGGGTGTGCAGCCCCGTGCTTTTCCTTCTTACCCATTAGGCAGGGAAAAATGACATCTCTATACAGAAATACTGAGAAATGAAGGCAGCACGACCTGACCCTGCCAAAAGCAGCAGCACTGGGAGCAGCTGTCTCGTGGAGATGGGAAAACCTTCAAGAGCTGTGCAGGGGTGGAGAGCTCTTTCAATGGGGAGCAAAGGAGAAGACAGCGAGCCGTGCCCAACCTAAAGGAAAATAGGAATGTCTGCAGCTGCTCCAGCTCTGGGATGGCTCCTGGTTTGGGATGTGTGCTGCAGGATGGGCGCTCTGCGTGCACGATCATACAAAGTATGAATGCAGGAGGAAAGCACGACTCGGTTATACCCAAATCCACACAGATTTGGAAGCAAACCCGCCGGCACTCCTGGATGGAGCACCCTGCCCTGCCCAGCTATTTGCTCCCCTCTGAAATGGAAATATGTACCAATGATGTGAGCCACCCCTTCCTGACAGAGGGCAGAACCTGAAGTTTCTGCCCCGTCAGTTCATGCTGTGTACAATTGTTATAAACTCATGCTTCCAGAGGACACCTATGCCATAGTCCCGAAAATAGGGGTTTTATAGTGTAAATATGACCAGAACATAGATATTTTACTTTATATTTCATTTGAAAGACAAGCTGTTTACATTAGCATTGGGATTTTAAATGCTTTTTAAGGAAAAAAAGAGGAAAACCAAATAACCCAAAGCTCAGCCCAGCTCCCCTCCTCCCGGTGCCACTCACTGCTGGGACCCAAACGGGTGCTGTGGGTCAGGTCCTCCTCATGGTGGTGTTGCCAATGCCTCGCACAGGGTTTGGGTTCATTCTTAGCTGTTGCTTCCCCTTTGAATGCTGCTCCTGTGTTCTGCTGTAGGGCTGCTGTGCGCTCATCCCTTAGCTCTGCTTCTTTACAAACCTTCATTTTGAAGCATACTGTGACCGAAATCGATGGCATTTGAGGAGACACCCGAGGTCAGGGATGGGGCTCTGAGCACCTGTGGGGCTGTGGGTGTTCTGCTCATTGCAGGGAGTGGGACCAGGTGGCCTTTGAGGATCCCTTCCAGCTCAAGCGATTCTTTCTATGAACATCACTACATTGCGCATTCCCTACAAAAAAATCACTGTCTTAAAGGCTTCATTTCATCACCAGAATTACTCTTTTCTTCTTCCCTCTCACAAACTGGCAAGGAAAGCAATCCTTGCAGAGCTGAGGACTCCTATGGCTGCAGTTGTTCTCAGCCCTGTTTCACTGCAAGGAGAGACAAAGCCCTGTAGGAACAGCTGGGCCCTGGCAGCTTTACAGGCGCTTGGAGCACATTATTGCTCTGTTAGACTTCTCTCTCTTGACGTGCAGGAGGTCACCGTGGGAATGCCGTGCTAGAATCCTGCCCATAACGCATGTAGGGGTATCTGAAACCCACCCCTTTCTCCCAGCTCCAGCTCCATCCAGAGTGCTCTGGGGCCGATGAAGATGCCCAGGTGCTTTGGTGGTGTGTCCATAAGGGAGTGGTGATTTGGGATGGGAATGGCATCAGGGCAGAGGGGGACGTGGGGCTGCTGAGCTCAGAGGGACCCCCAGCCTCCAATTGGGATCCCCAGGGCACGGCCCGACAGAAGCTCTATCGTTTTACGAAATCCCTCGTGTATAAAATGTTTATAAATATTTGTGGATGAAGATACACAGGTCTATTTTTAAGATTTAAGTTAAATAAGTTAACAAACGGCTGGCCTTTTTTGCCTCGACGTGCAATGGGATCTATTATACCTTTAGTCTCCGATGGCCTAGGTACTGCTTAGTCTGTGATGAAAACTTTGCTGCTTACCCAATGTTCTCAGAGAAGAGCTGTAAGAGGCGTACAGGTTTGTTGCACACGGGCTACTGCAGCAAAGCTCTGTGTTTGACCACTGGTAATATGAATGTGTTGTATTGACTTGTCGAAGATAATCATGAGACAACATATTTTAAATGTTACTTGCCTTATAGATTAGGATACGGATACGTGGATATCATTTTTGTAAATAATGTTTTTTATAAATGTCTTTCCTCCATTCTCCCCATCATCCACTCCACCAAATCTCGAATATGCAATTATTTACCACGCATAATATTGCAACAAATAAACCCCCACGTCAGAACAAAGTTTATTAATCCTATACATGAGAACCACACGAAACACCCCCTTAAGTTGCAATTTAAATGTGATTTTTTTCCCCCCCTTGAAAATAAACAGAACCCAGAAAACAGAGCTTTCTTTGTGTGTGTTTTGATGTCACAGGCAGGAGAATCACAGGGAGGGGGACAAGAGGATCACGGGCTGCCATGTCTCTGTGTCCCAAATGGCATTACTGCTGAGGCCATGCAATGTGACCCAGCTCAGGGATGGGGCTGCGACTGGGGTTGGCACGCAGAGAAATGTGGGGACCTGTGTGGACCATGGGGACATTGAATCATTAAGGTTGGGAAAGGCCACTGAGATCATCTATTCCAACCGACCCGTGGGGGCTGTGGGTCATCTAATGGGCTGTGGGGGGTTGTGGGGGCTGCGGGGACATGCAGTGCTTGTGGGGATACATGGGGGCAATGGGGGCATGCAGTG